AAAAGTAAACTTTGTGATAAAAAGTCTAGATTGTTCATTTTTACATAGAAAAATATTTTAAAAGTATTTTATGGCATTGACAAAGCTCGAATTGTTGGCCGAATTTTCTGTTTTATTTTTTTTAATAGCTTTCAACATTTAATAGCTAAAGAAACCCTTCGCTACCTGAATGACGGAAAAGGTAACTAATAAAAAAAAAAATCGAGTTGTTGTATTTGTTGGTAATACAAACTATGTGGAAAAGTAGAAAATTTAAAAATCAGGCAGAAGAGTAGCTGGTAAAAATATTACCAATTTTCATGTTTTATAAGCAGCCTTCACCTAGAACCTTTCCCCCTCATTCTGCTTCCTGCTTACTTTTTTACTTCTGTCAATTGTACGACTCCTACTAGTCAATAAAAAAATAAAATAAGCAGGCAAATTTGTTAGAAGTTTATGCCAATGCATCTTTCCTTTTTGAAATTTTTTATTTCCGACGACACGAACACTTTAAAAATGAATTACCATGACAGAAAAGAAATACTTTGTTCACAATTATTTACCTCTCATCAATACATTCAGATGAATTTTCAACCTTAATATAAATCATCTTTTCGAAGAACAATCTATAGAAGAAATTAAAAAAATATCTATTAAATCATTGAATGATAAATAAAAGAAAGAAAGGAATACTGGAATACCACTTAAACTTCAAGTATCTTGGTAAGATTCCTCTTAGCACTTGCTCATTTAGATTAACTCTTGATAAACGCACACACGTTTCTTCTTTTTTTTTATACACACATCTACCTTAATTTCTCGTGAAAAAAGTAATTAGTCACTCATATCATTTTATCAGCTAACTTTTTATTCCATCTCCTATTTTGACTACTTTTTCTCTAATTAAATAAATGATAAAAATGTTTTAATAAGATTAACTTGACACATGTCTTCATAAAGTAGTTATAGCATGCTGTCTGGTTATTTAAATCGCCTGGCATTTTAAATTACATGAAGGGCAAATAATTTTTTTATTTTATTTATAAAGTAGCAAGAGACTACTCAATGATTATTAAAAATAAATAATTTAATAATAAAGAGAAAAAAATATCTTGGATGTTGGTGGTATTACAACATTATTGATGCATGGTTTCAATACGTTGGACCAAAAGAGAAAAAGATGTTAATAAAAATCAATCAGCTAACTGATATGTTGTTAAGTAGTGCCTCTAAAGAGGCAACAAGCCTAATTGAACATGATTTCTTTTTTGTTAAACATCATTTTTTTTTTATTCCATACATCTTCTTCACATATAAGTGCTTTTTATTGAGATCCCTTGAGTACCGAAAAGTATGTTTATATACATTGCTTTACAAAATGCCGCTGCTAGTAATCTCATTATGCATCAACAACATTTCACAGCTGGATGTCCAGGTGTAACTGAGACTCCCGTGTGAGACTTGTATTCTCGCCTCTTATATTCCTCTTATGAAACTTTTAATGTGTGCATTTTTTAACATAATAAATTCAAGACAAGACAAATGAGCCTCCGAGTATTATGTAGTTAACTAGACACAATACCAAATTAAATGAGAATTGATAACCAATTTGATTACATGCATAAATAATATATTTTACAGTTATTACTTTGAAGCTCGTACCATCTATTAGAAGTTAACTTTTCATCCTCATCTAATCATTGATGAAATATGGAGACAATTATTCATTCTGTTTCAATCATTTTTAATAATAAAAATTTTTTATTTCGAATTGAAGGATCTTTAAATTTTATATTGCAATCACTGCAAATCTTAACAAATTCGAGTGTTTAGAAATAAAACATTTCAAGTGTTTAATTTTTAAACACGAATTTAAAGTGTTATAGAGACTTTGAACATTTTTTTTAGTAATTATTAATAAATAAAAATCATGACTCAAGGTATTACTGCCAATCGAAGTGTTTAATAATTAAACACTTAAATTTTTTTGAATTTGCAGGAATAACACTTGATTGAAATCTGTTTTCTTCACTTGTATAGTGAAAACTAAAAAGTTAATGAAAGGAAATTCCTAACAAAAAATTGAACGAATTTTTTCAAATTCTTCTAATAGTATTTAAGGAAGTTGGAGTGTTTATTCTAGGATAGAAATTTCTTAAAATTTTAATATTTGATTTGTTTTTTATAATAAAAATTTCAATACAATTTTGTCTCTCATTTTTGAGAACTATTAATTAAAAATTTATTGTTTTACATGAGCTCTTAAAGAGATCACATTATAAAACTGTATTACCAGTTAATAAGTAAATGCAAATTTAGCACCTCAATAGTAACCTCTTTACTGCTGTAATTTATTGCAAATTATCTCTCCAAGCTCATATTTTCCATGAAACTGCAATAAATATATAAGAAAAAAATTATAACAATCATCAAGAATATATTGGATTGTTATTTAAAAATATAAAAGTCCATACAATACGAAGATGGCAAAACAAAATTGGAATGAATTATTTACACCGAAAAATACACTAAAATGTTCTACAACAAACTGACACAGAGAAAAGCGGAAAAGATTGAAGGAGGGGATAGTAAAGTGTCTGTCTGATGGAGCTTGAAAGTGAATTAACATCCCTTGCCTGGAGGCACGCGCAATCCTGGCATCCCCATCTCCACCATTATATTTGTCTTTGTATGCTAAGCGATTCTCGAGATTGCGCTAGACTGGCGCCATGGTTATCTGTGTTATTCAAAATAGTTAAATTTTGTTGTGTATGTAAATACACATACACATAGATAACATCAGAAATTTTCACATCACAATCGAATGGATAATTCCATCCCATTTGTTTCTTTTTATCTTTTGATATCACTTTTTTGCTCATCTATCTTCAAAGATTACTATTTTCATTATTAAAAAATGCTTCGATTTTATGCATTAGCAATTACACAATAAATGACACCGTTTTATGTGTCGACAGTTTCTTTTTCATCACCGACACATGTAATTATGAACGTTAAAGCTGAGAACTTTTTATTTATTGATAAATAAATAAAATAAATTTTATTGTGGACATGTGAATATATACATTCGTATTAGAAAAGAATAAATAAACCTAAACGAAACCTAAAGATGAGTAAATAAAAGTAAACAAAATTTACCGATCAAGCATTGATCGACAATATTTTACTATTTTGAAATGATTTCCTCTTTTGAATATTTATCCATCAATCATAAATTAAATTTAAAGAAAACCATTCATGTAAACACTTTCAACACTTGAGTAGGATATTAGATATCAACAGCTTGCTTATTCGGTCTAATAAATTATCAAAAAAATCAAATAATTATTTATTTATGTGACTGAAAATACTTTAAGATATCAGTACACTTGAAACTTTAACTATTTTTAATGTTTTCAATTTGTAAAAGGACACAAAAGTGTGCATTTTATTTATATACTCGTGTTAATAACTTGCATGTATGCATACGCATCAGAGTGACAATAGTATTGTGGAGAGTACGTATTGCTAGTCATTAGTTGAAACGATTTACAAATTATTTATGATCGCATAATGTAATTTTTATCATATTTGTGTATGGTTTTACTACATTATGTCGCTTTTGACTTATCATTTGCTCAACATTTACATGAGTATGACTAATCGAACCAGTAATATATATAAAAAGTAATGTAAGAAGTGTGTCAAATGTTAAAGAAAAAATTGATCGACACGAGTTACTATTAAATATATTACAAATAATGATTAACAACCATAATAAAGTCAAAGTTCTTTAAAATTCTATTGTTGATGATTTTTATGCTGTTCCAAGCTATGAGAAAATGACATTTCTTATTGTTGGGAATTTAAAGTAAAAAATTGTGTAAAGATGTTAAATGTTTTATTTTACAGACAATTCAGTTAATTCGAATAATTTTAATTATTTTAAAATTTAATTGCTTTATCGTTAACTTAAAAAATTAACAGATTATCGATGATGAAGCAAAAAAAATAGAGGCTGCTGGTCTTGATGACTTAATACAACTTGATACTCTTGACATCTGGTTTAAATGATTTTTTATTAAAAAGTTCTTAGCAGCTTTGATAAAGTTGATGATTAATTTTTATTATCCACCACATCGTGATGATGTCAATTGCAGTTTACTTAACATAGATCCAACCTATTTTATGAAACAAAAAAAAAGTAGTCAATTTACTCAAAAATAATCTAAATGACTTTTTATCTTTTTAAATTGTTTTATTTTCAACAGAATCTGAATGATAAAAACAATTACCAGTATTATAAGAACAATATAAATTATATATCTATGCATTAATCACTCTTTTATTGAACAATCATAATCATACTACTCGGGACACGTTTCCAAGTAGACGACAACTATCAGTTTATGTCATAAACATTGTATAAAAACTTGATTGACGTGGTTAATTATTATAAAAATTAACATTTATCTCTATTAATTCATGAGAAATTCCCTTTTATTTGTTTACTATTAACGTCCAACGATTCATTAAGTAATTAAAACAAAATAAAAAATAATAAATAAATTGAGAAGCTAAATGTTATCCAATTCGAAGAAGTTTTACGAGTTCATCATCGTTACGTAAACGGTAAAACGATTCATAGAATAATATGTAGTGTACAAAAATACACACGTCTTATCATGAGAAATATGATGAAAGGTATATTTATCTCTAAATATTGCGACTAGAAGATTGATAATAGTGGTCTCAAAGAGACACATACACACAGGTGGGGTTGCCGACAAAGAGAAAAGGCATCCAGACGCGTGGGAGCCTCAAGCTGGGGCTCACGACGTCTGCTGGGGTAGCGTCGCGACGCCTGAAGGGGCAAAGAACGTTTCAGAAGCTCCGCCCCTGTGGAAGTTGTGCGCCCAACCGGGAGCTCAACTCAGGCAACAGGAGGAGGAGCTCTGACTGCTGGTGTCTGCTGAACTGATGTCTGAAACTTTTCTTTCTCTTCAGTATTGCTTCGAAACTCACATTGAAAGATACAACATTTTTTCTCTACATTTTTGCCATTGTGTTCAAGCTGATGATGATTATGAGTTTATTTTGAGAATTTATGCCATTTTTTTCTTCAACATTAGATTTAATTATGGCCAGTATTTAACTGATTTATTGATATTTTAACAGTTGTGATAGTTTATTCCTTGTTCAATATCAATACGAACAAGAGAGATCGTTGACAATTTTGTTATCGATCTTCGTTCAGCCACAGACATTGGAAATATTTGTTAAATATTAGTGAATAACAGTGATAGCGAAGGTTCATTGAAGTGATAAAGTGTATTTATTTAACAACAATGATGGAAACAACGAAGATGGAGCCTCTAACGCCACCTCATACACCACCTTCTGGTTTACATACAGCTTTAAGTTCACCATCTAGGTGGATGAGGACTCAGATTCCAGGGCAATTGCCTATGGGACATCCAAGTCCTCATTCAGCACATCCAGGATATCATGCCACCTTTTTCGATCATTGGTTGAGAGGTGCTGCTCTTATGGCTGCTGGTAGATGTTGCTCTCAAACATCACCTCATCATCATACACCCACAGGACATCCTATGCACTCTGGACTCTCTATACCTCCACCAGCATCTTTCCTCACAAGAAGGCTGCCGGGTCAGCGACCAAAAAAACAATTCATCTGTAAATTCTGTAATCGACAGTTCACCAAGAGCTACAATCTATTGATTCATGAGAGAACTCATACTGATGAAAGACCATATTCGTGTGATATCTGTGGAAAGGCTTTCAGACGTCAGGATCACCTTAGAGATCATCGGTAAAGATTTTGTTCTTTTTTCAATAATACTAATGAATGATGAATTGCTGAATCAAATTAATGTATGTTTTATTATTTTAGGTATATCCATAGTAAAGAAAAGCCTTTCAAATGCAATGAATGTGGGAAAGGATTTTGTCAAAGCAGGACATTGGCTGTTCATAAAATCCTTCACATGGAAGAATCACCACACAAATGTCCTGTATGTTCACGAAGCTTCAATCAGCGCAGCAATCTTAAAACTCATCTTATGATACACACAGATGTACCTCAAGATCTGCGAATAGACTCTCACGTTTCTGAAATTTCACATTCTCCAAGAACATCAGTTCCAAACCACACAGGACCTACCACAGAAGCTTTAATAAACATTGAAAGTCCTTCAAAAACACAAAAACTTGGATTCACCATAGCAGATATAATGAGACGTTAAAGCTGATGATTTGTTAGCTAATCAATTAGGCTGCGTTCTACAAATATAGCTAATTTAAATGTTTATAGTATTATTGAATAGAATAGCGAAACTAGTGCATGAGAGGATAAAAGAATGAATGAGGGGAATAAGAGTGTTGAAATATTTGGAAAGTACTTAAATCGTAGATTTATTTACAATAGGTCCTATTGAATTATTTAGAGAATGACTGAGCTTGATGATGAATGAATGAATGAATCCACAGCGACCAGAACGTCGTTAAACGTCACCAAACTGTATATATTTACGTTTTACTTTAGGATTTACTTTATGTTATTTTATTCACTTATTTATTATGTTTTAAATGAAAAAGTCTGTGCAAATTATGTTTTAGATAAACAAATAATTATTCTTAATTCAAAGTCATTAATAATATCTAAATTATGTCATTATTAGACTCTTTAAAATTTTACTATATGATAAATGTAGTATTATAAAAAAAAAAAAACAAGTATTTATTAATATAACGAATAGTTATTTGAATATTAACAAAAATATTTTGCTGAGATTCAAGAATAAATTATGTTACCATCCACTCATTTAAACTTACAAGACTTTTTTAAAATATATTTTTTTTCCCTACATATTCTTAATTTTTTTGTTATTGACAAATTGATGTAAAAAATAGTGCATTTAGAATTTATTGAATACTTTTTTATCTTATTCTTTTTCTCTGAATGATAGAAGAACAAGATCTCGATTGGAAAATTAATTAGCATTTTCTTAGCTGAGTGCATCTTTGAAAATTTATTTTCCATGTTTTCTTAGGTTTCTTACATTTTCAATGACCTGTAAATAATAGCTGACCCTCGAAAAAAAGAGGGCCTTGTCTGGCGTTTTGTCAACTCAAGACCACCCACACTGTACATATAAGGCCCTTTCGTTGAAGGTCTACTTATTTTTATCACTTCTTTATTTCACTACCTATTCTTTATCCACTTTCGAAATTCTTTGTTGTAAGGTGTTACCACTAATTTAGGCTTTGTAAATATAAATATAAGATTGTACAGTTCTCAGATAATGTAGGAAGTTGAAAAGCATAAAGCTTTACATAAAATACAGTTAACAATAATAAAGTAAACTAATACTTAATGAATGGAGAGTTATTAGACAGATTTAAGTTTACTTAGTTTTTATTGTATGAGTTTATGGAGAAAGATTGTATTGCCTTTTTTTTCTCCTTCAGAAGGAATAGTAGTAGTTATATTAGAGTTCTCAATTATGGATTTATAAATTAAAGTGTCAATGCAAAGTGTGCAGAAAAAATTTAAAAAATCCATACAATAAAAAAATAATAATAAATGTTTAAAGATCAAAGTACATTTCTAGACATATACAGTTACCAATTTGTGTATGCTATGGGTGATTATTATGTTATCAAATGTGTTTTATGTCTCATATTGTATTAACGATAAGACGTAAATACCAAAAAATTTTAGTAAACTTTCATCACTTGTAACTTTATCCTAGTCGAGTTCTAGCAATTTATCAATTAAGACTGGGAATAAAGAAGATTAAATAATGGATAGTAATGCAAATTTAATTGCTTGTATCAAATTTTAGTTTAATCTAAGAATGATCTATTCAATTAATTAATTTAATACGAAATCGAAAGACATTATTTAAGCAAAAATAAATGATTTAAATAATATTTAAATGAAACTATAAAAAAATGTTAAAGTTTCATTTCATTGTGGTTTACAGATAAATAATTTATTATTTCAATTAAGTTAAGCAATTTGAGTAAATTTTTAATTACTTACGTAGTAAATCTTAGTGTTTTATTACAATACACCAAAAGTGTTCGAATGCATCACTCATTGAATTAACATTGAAGACATTTTTAGTACACTTGAAAGAGTTTTAAAGAGTAACAATATTATTTAAACAAGTGACGCCACATTGAACACTTTCAGTGTATTGCAATAAAACACTTGAATTAAAAATATGCAATGTTAATAAGTTCTTTAAAAAATTATATTTAAAAAAAAAAACATTCCAAAATCAGTTAATTTTTTTTTTCTATTACATGGATTCTTGATGCTGAAGATCAATGTAGATTATAATGTAGAAGCTAAATGTTGTAATATTTAATAACAATTTATAAAAATGATTAACTAGAAATTCATCTAATATTCAATCTTTATTCCGAATACTCTTTTTTATCAATTATAAAGTACATTACGACAAATTACAAATACATTACTAATAAAATTATAGTTGATAGGACTTTAATCATAAATACATGGTAAAATATTCATTCCATTGTTCAATAATTGTTCAACATTACTATCACCAAATCTCATTAGATTTGATCGCTGAATAAAATATTTATTGTAAAGATAAATCATATAATTTGTCAATAATTAACAATGCAATTGTATATCACTCTTATTAAATTTTTTCTATTAATAGATGACTCATTTTTTGACGTAAACTACAGAGGGAAGACAAGTCAAAGGTTTAGCAGGTAACGAAAAAATGAGATAAATGGATTCCACGCCTTTTTTTGCAAAAGTATCTATATTTCTTCAGCGTCAATCTAGATCTCTTTCATCTAAACTATCATAATTGTTTAATCGTCCTCTCATCCATTAGTCATTATTATTATCCTTCAGACAAAAACGCATCCTGAAAATGACCAGGAAAATAACTGAGTAGTTTTAATAGTTAATAATCGTACAGATGTGGATCCTCTTAATGATTTGTTTTGGCACAACATTATTTAGCTTCCTATTGTGTTGGAATTTTTAGACAAGTATATAATATAGATTTATGATGAGCTAAAGCTAGAAATTTACCAGAAAAAAATAATTACAATAATTATGATAAATAACGTAAGGATAAATTGATGTATTTGACTCTTGAAAGAATACCTTTTTTCTAAGCAATAATAACGCATTAAATAAATTAATTACTGCTTGAATTTATCATCAAAAATATCTAATACCAAAATTACTCTAATGACCAATGTTTAATACAGACATCACCTTTTTTTTTACAGAATTAACCACAGAAAAGAGAATGACAATTCATTGAACACCGTAGAGAAGATTTAAAATAATGACAATTTGGTGAGTGTTTTTTTAATCTTCTTTTGAAACTGGTGTGGGAGAGAATACTGTTATTTCTGTTGGAATGTCCTAAGGGCTTAAGCGTCTCACCCTGTGGGTCTCAAGTGATCCAGACGGCGTTCAAGTTCTAAAATGTTAACTACAGAGTATTCAGGTTAGCATCGCGGATTCAGATTGTTCGGGTCGGGACCTGAACAACATGTGTGTACCCTCTTATTAGGGCGTGGGTCTTATCTAAAGGGTCACTGAATGGCTGCGACCTCGAGACCGGGTCCCACAGAGGCTCGGGGGTCAAATTCCAGGAGTTGTATCGCTGGGGATACTAGAGTGATGCATTTTTTTTTACCCTCGCGGCGCCATGCCGCGCGTCAATCACGCCCCTTTGCACAACGAAACATCAAAATGTTATCGAGTCATTCTTTTTTCAATATTTTTTTCTAAATTTTATTTTCTATACAAAGTCCATTATTTTATCAATTTTTAAATATTTATCATTCTCAGTAATTTTGCCGAGTTTTAAACGCTTTTGTTGTTTACCAAAATGCTATCGTTTATTTATGGTGTTCAATATTGTTATCACTGAAGTGTTTAATTATTAAACACTTTAAACGTATTAAATATGATGTTACTCATTTGATTAACATTGTAGTCATTTTTAACGCAGATCTAAGTGTGTAAAAAGTGACTACAATATTAATCAAATGGGTGACGTCATATTACACACATTTTTTCACATTAAAATAATGCATTTTGGAAAACTGAGATTTACAGTGTGGTGACAGTAAAATACTGATATCAATGACCGATTTCTAATGAAAGTATTGAAAAAGATACAAAGATAGCAAGCCAGACACTTGAATGCGGAGAACTCATAAAGCCCGAGCAGATTTTTAGCCTGTGGTTAGGGCGGTGCGCGGTTTTTTGTGACCGGCAATTAGGTAAACGTCTTTCGATTCTCTCTCGAGCTCATCGATGTTCATATTGTAGACACATTTCTAGGGCCCTACTATTATTTAGTAGTGTATTTTAAACTCAAGCCTCGATCTCTAGAAAAAATGATAATCTTTTTTTTATTTTCTATGCCACTAATCTCTTATACATTAATCCAGAAGTCCCACACATTTTAATCTACTGTAATAAGCACCTTTCAAGACTAAACAAAACCTTTTTTCCAATAATTTTCAACCATATTAACTTTAATTTATTCTCAAGTATTTTATTACTGTAAAAAATGTCGAAAGTATAAATTTACACATTTCTTCTTAATTTTTATCGTTAAGATAATTTTAATAATGATTATTTTAATTTCCAGTAGGTACAATGGTAAATTTTCAGTAGCAGAAAAAATAAGAATCCCTGCAAAATCTTTATTACCGATTGAACATCACAGTTTATGTAAATTTGTCTTGACACCCACGCAATAAGGAGTAGGGAATTCCGCTAGCTGCTGCCACCTATAGAACTTTCCGGTAATCACTCGATGCGTCATAATTCGCGCGTTATTTGACTTACACTCGTGGGAACCACTTTAAATTGGAGCAAACAACTACACAGTCTCCTTTATTGATCTATTTCGTTTTCTTCTTAACCAACGTCTTCTTATTTTTCTCACTCTAAAGAAATGTGGCTGTGCGAAAAAAGAAACTCTGTGGAGAGTAGGCGTGACGGGTGCGGTCCTCTTTTGGCCTTTGGCTAAGCTCAAAACTGCCTTTGCTGCAGAAAAAATCATCAGCAACAAAAAAACGTTTATACTACCTGCCGTCGCGTAACAGAATAATTGGAGGATACTAATGCCTTAAGGATAATGCACAGATTAGTTCTCAAAACGTCTAAAGTAATTTGGCCATGAAATTTCTGCATTTTGTTTTGGTCTTGCTTATTTTGCTGGAAAATTTCCTTTTTAATCACTTCATTCCTGATAATTTTCATTCAAAGGATTTGTTTCAAAGAGTTTATGACAATTTTAATTGAGTTGTTGTCAAATTTTGGGCAGGTAAATTTGTCCCAATAACAGAGTCGTTTGAAAATTTAATTTAATGATTGTTAAACTTAAAAAAATGTTATGATACTGAATGAGTCTATAAGATATATAAGACTGTTATAAATATTGAACCCAAATTATTTGCCTCTGAGTTCTTTTATTTAACAATTCAATTGTTTTTATATATTTATTTCTCTTTATCTATGTCATTCCAACTTACTTTTACCTGCAAAAAATTCAACAATGATGTAATTATTTAATTCAAAGGCCTTTGATTAGGATAATTAACAAAATAATTGTTCGAAAACAAATAACGATTTTTCTTTTAGAAGTAAGTTTACTGATATCTATTTTTCACTAAACTATTTTCATTATTGACATTGATAAATCACATAGAAAAATAATTATCACCGGTATTTACGATGATATTACAAAGTTATTTGCAACAAACTTGTACTCAATAGTTTCTCGTCTATACCTGCAGATTAACGGCTCGTAACTCATCATTTGTATGACAGTGATTGTCGATTTAGCCTGTCATTTATTCGTCGTTGCACATTGGATATAACTTTGAATGATTATTAACTAAAGTCAGTAATTAATTTCAAGAGAATTAAACTTCGTTCGTGTAAAGAAACAATAAAATTATCTAAGATTTTTTCAGTGTGAAAAAAAATGATTAATAAAATGTACATTCAATTATATTTAATACCTAGAACTTTAATGACTAATTAGACATATAGAATAATTATTGATTGCTCAATTTCTTTTGTTTTTCTGAGTCAATTATTTATCGTGTGAATCTTCGTCGTGACTGCATTTCCCCACTATCAAAAATACCCTCAAGGCACGCGCTCAGCTGCGGGGGATCCTCTTATTCTTCCACCATGTCTTTTTTACTTTGAACGGATAGGTATGCGCGTTGAGACGTCGCCGTTCGTGCGCCATATTTCATCGTGCGTTTATCCAACCACCAAGAACACATCTACCCATCGGAGGAATCCAAAGTAGCTGATAAAAAAGTTGTTACGACTTTATAAAAGTATTTGAAATCCTCTGGAAAATCATTCTTTTCCATTTTTAAATCACTACTGACTTCTGAATCATTTTTCAATGTTCCTAAAACTAAAAAATCTCCTATTTAATATTTTATAACAGCAATCAATTATTTATAATGATTTAAAAATCATAATTTACATTTATTCAATAAAAGTTGATTATTAATAATAAATTTTAATTTAAAAAATATGTTTGAATGACAAAATGTTTAAAACATGACTTTCAAAGAATAAAAAGCATACTGGGCGTTTAAGTGGAATTTAAAATGAATTTTATTCCACTTGTTGATACCAATATCTGAATAAAAAAACAATAAAATGGATAGTTGAAAAAAAACTCGGTCACCAGCACGATAATTTAATGAGAAGACTCATGAATAATAAAACAAAAACCTTGGAGATGGATTGTACCATGGTGCCACCTTGAGCGTAATTTTAATTCACTGATCAATCAATGCAATCTGGAGCCATGGACGACGGATTGTATAATGAAAGGTTAGATTGTTCCGCAAAACGGAGACGAAGACTTTTAGGATGGGCCTAAGAATGGAACGCAGAAGATACCTCTTTTCCTCATCCTCCATGAACGAAAGTAGGGGTTAGTTGGACGCGTGGGTCTACACATGTTCCCACGGTTTCAAGGCATATCGCACTACCAACCCCACCCTTAACGATCTTCCTTCGTCTCCACTCACCTCCTCATCCACCCCCGCCATACCACAATATAACGTATATATTCCATACGCCTCCTGTACCCCTCAAGACCCCTTAAGCGTTGGCGGCGCGGCTGACCTTTGACCCTCCATTACCCGGTACTGGGACTCGACTGACGCGACTCCTACGGATACATAAATATACTCAAGGCACATGTGCCTGTGCTCGAAAGCATTTAGGGTTGAGGCAACACATTTTAAGAGCTACATAACATCAATGTTGGCGAATTTTCCTCCAGGCTATGCCAAGGTTGCCTCCATATCTCTTTTTCCCTTTCTCAAGACATTTCCCGCATGACTTCTTCACCAGAGTAGACAAATGGACAGCATGTAATCGGTACTTTTGTGAGACGTCCTCATGCAAAAGAAG